AAAAAACCCCCCCCCCCCCCAAAAAAAAAAAACACACACAAAAACGCTGCCATTCCCAGCACTCCGCTTGGTTTATATTTAACATTTTTCCCTTTCTGGAAAAGGATTTCTGATTTTTTAAACAATTTCGATAGTGAAGCCCCATTACTAAAATACTTCAAAGTACATACAGTAATACAGTAAAGCATAATGCTGAGAAAATAAGTACGTGTAATATGATATGAATAAATATATATATATACAATATAAATACGAAATACTTTATAGAAAAATTATCTTCGCCCCCCCCCCTCTTTCTCTCTTCCCTTTCTCCTCTTTTTTTGTTGTCATGACTGAAAAATTTTCGGGTCTTTTATCCACTCCTCGTCTATTATCCTGCATTAGGACCACGCCCTTTTGCTATCATTCAGTTTCCATGCTTGATATTTTGAAACCAATTTAACCGTTATTCGTTAATGAATCAAAGTAATAAAGATTTAAAATTTAGGCTTCTTTATATATTTTAGTCACTGAAATATCTTTGGTGAAAAAATAAATTTAAGGAATATAAAATTCAAACACAGCTAAAATGGGATAGAAAAAACGTTTGAATTTTATATTTTGCAGAGTGTGTGTGTGGGGGGGGGGATCCCTCCAACATTTACAACTAAGAAATAATTTCCATTATTATTCATCTGACTACTAGTCATCTTTTAGTCTATTAATTTGTATTTCCTTGTCGTTATTGTTTCAGAATTTACTTATATTATCACTGATCTAGTATAACGATTTAACGATTTCTAACAGTATTAAAACGTTTTCAATATTTTTTCCCGGTTAGTCATTCATTGCAATTTTGACAAGAACCGGACCAGCAGAATACATATACATATATAGGTATATATACACACTGTTTCTTGTGTTGTCATGACTACGAACGTAGAAAAGTAGCGATTGATGAGTAATGTTAAAGGTTTCAGTTACTGGAAACAGTAACAGGCCTACTGAAAGCGTGTTTCTTGGAATCCAAATAATACAGAAAGCATTCTAGCTTTCACAGAACAAGGAGGAGCATTGCAAGCTGTTTCGATTATCATTTGAATCTTCACGTTAGACAATTGCCTTGGTTTTTGTTCTTTGTGATGGTGCTTCTGCGATCCACACTGTCGAGGTGTGGTCCATGAATTGGTTTTAAATCGTCAACCGAGCACTTGGGGTAAACTCGTACATTGAACAAATGGCCCATGCGCTACTTTGAACACACATCTACAATATACATGTACTTTACTTCCTTTACAAATACACCTGTACATTGTGTTTTGGGACAAGAAACCATAGCAACAAGGCATAGAATAATCTATGACAATTCCTAATAGCGCGCGCGCACACACACACACACAAACAAGTATACACAAATGTTAGCATAAAATAAATTTTCTTACAATGGGTTGGAAAACAACGGTCCAAGTATTCATAAAATATATTGATATATCTAATTAACCAATTTATTTATAGAAATTAATTAAAATGTTTGTATATTTTTCAATGTACTAAAGTAAGTTGTGTTTGTTTGTTTCGGATGTATTACGTGACCTTAATACACGTGTTTATAAAATCATTTAATAATATATGGAGGTTTTAATATGTGCGAGCTCAGAAATGTTTGACATTTACTATTTATTAGCTGGATACAGAAGCGTGGAATACAGTAGTTGTTCGATCGATGTGAGAAAGCTTAATTAGGACAATTGTTAACTTGGTGTAGCAGTCAGTGTCTAACAAAGACAGCTGTTAACTTGGTGTAGGGGCAATTCTCAGTTTGGCGTAGGAGCCACTAATCACGATAACTGTCAGTTCGGTGTAGGGTGAAACTAACGAAACTTAGTGTCAGCTCAATGGAAGAGTGTCTATTACAGACAACTGTTAGCTAGGTGGAAGTGTCTAACAACGAACAACTCTTAGCTCAGCGGAAGAGTGACTAACAACTGTCAGCTCAATGGAAGAGTGTCTATTACAGACAACTGTTAGCTAGGTAGAAGTGTCTAACAACGAACAACTCTTAGCTCAGCGGAAGAGTGACTAACAACTGTCAGCTCAGTGGAAAAGTGTCTATTACAGACAACTCTTAGCTTGGTGGAAGATTACTAGTAAAGACAACATACAATGGTGGAAGAATGGGTGACTAACAATAAATAACTCAGTTCAGTGGAAGGATGTCTAACAATGGATAACTATCAACATTAAGTGCGATTGCTTAATACAGAGAACTGTCAGCTTGGTGGAGGATCGTTTAACAACAGACAACTGTCAGCACGGTGGAAGAGTATCTAATACAGACAACTGTTAGCTCTAACAATTGACAAATATGAGCTCAGTGGAAGAGTTTCTAATAATGGACAACAATCAGATCGGAAAAGAGTGTCTAACAGTGGATGACTATATGTTTGAAGTAGGAGAGTTTTGTACCGAGAATTAACTCACTGCTCGGTGGAGGACCATTTAACAACGGATAACTTTCAGTTTGGTGGAAAATGTCTAACAACGGAAAAACCATCAGCTCAGTGGAGAAGTGTATGACACGGAAAACTACCAGTTTGGTGGAAGAGTGTCTAACAACAGATAACTATCAACTTGGTAGTAGAGCGCCTATTCGTAGATATCTGACAGTTCCGTGAAGGAACGTCTAACAATGGAAAACTGTCAGCTTGGTGGTAGAGCGCCTATTAGCAGATAACTGACAGTTCCGTGAAGGAACGTCTAACAATGGATAACTGTCAGTTTGGTGGAAGAGTATCTAACGACAGATAACTATCAACTTGAATTATTAGTGCTTATCACGGATCACTATTAGCTCGGTGGAAGAGCCTCTAACAACGGACAACTTTCTGTTCGGTGTATAAACGTATGACAGAAACAACTTCTAGACAAGTTAAATATAACTTACAGACAGTGAATTAGTAAACAAAGTATAAACTATTTACCAGGTAGTAGTTAGTAGGAATTATGCATGTGATAACATCAGCCAACACACATCAGAAAGTATGACAATTAAATGTAAACATTTATACAGAGTGCAACAGAAGCACATGTTAATATGTAATATGTGCAAAGTGCAACGCAAGCACATGTTAATAATATGCACTATAGTGTGATATAGTTTGATACAGAGTGCAACATAGGCACATGTTAATATGCACTATGGTGTGATATGGTTGGATACAGAGTACAACAGAGGCACATGTTAATATGTAATATGGTGTGGTATGGTTTGACACAGAGTGCAACGCAAGCATATATTAAATGTAATATGTATAGAGTGCAACGCAAGCACATGTTAATATGCACTATGGTATGATATGGTTTGGTACAGAGTGCAACATAGACACATGTTAATATGTAATATGTACAGAGTGCAACGCAAGCACATGTTGATATATAATATGGGGTGATATGGTTTGGCATAGAATGCAACGCGAGCACATGTTAATGTGTAATATGATATGATATCTGATTGAAATATAAAGAGACTTCTGAAACTCACATCCCCTTGCTTGCTTGGGTATTTTATGTATTTTCAAATCGGTCTGTTCGAT